GCCTATCATACCAAAACTTTGTGGCATCCCATGAAGTTGATGGGCACAAAGAAAAAAGTACCTCTTCATTCAAGACTTAAATGAACACGAGGAACTCACTGCCGCAGAATACAGCAATGGCCACAGAGCGTAGATGTTTCTGAAAGGAGATCAGATGGATTCACAGAGGGGGAGTCTAACCATGATGTCTGTAGGGAACCTCTAAATTCAGAGGTACTTCAACTTTGCTTACCAGTTTGTTGTGGGGGACAGTAGGGGGAGACTGCTGATTTTGTGTCCTGCTTCTGGTCTTCTGGGTGGTGGTGTTTGGTTAGCACTGGGAAATCGGGCTGTTGGAATAGATGGACCTCTGACCTCTTTCAGCTGAGCTCTTCTTGTGTTCTTATAAAAAGTTAGCAACATGATTTAACTAAGAGTGGGAAATACATTTTCAGAGACAGTCTCCTTCTGAATACCAGTCGCTGAGGCCCAAATCAGAGGGAAGGCGACTGCGTGGGGACTTCCTCGAGGCATATGGGCTTGAGAATTCAGGACTCAGGGCCAGAGGGGCCTTTGCTCTGATCCCCCAGTGTGGTTCTTGTGTTGTTAACGTTTCTGCCCTTCCTGATGGATTCCTATTTTGTGGTTATCAGCCGGAACGCTCTCTCCAGTTTCTATTTGACTGGGAATGGAGAGGGGGCAATCTAGTTTTAAGAGAATAAAAGTTGGGATGGTGCTAGGAATCCACTGCTTACCCAGGATTCTTTTGCCAGGCCTCGTCGTAGTATTTCTTCTGTAGTGATTGATTTGCCTTTGTGGCGATTCGGCACAGATCCATTTGCCAAGACCTGGCAGCATTGTGAGCCATGCGTTAGGTTAGCCCAGCTTGGCATAACAGAAGTCAGCACCTTTCTCCTTATCTCAGTCATTTACAGAAAGTTGATTTTCCTGTTAACTGAGACCTAACGAAGTAGAATCCATCTGAACGGGCCCTGGCATGACGGCTGGGGGAATTCAGAGAGGAAAGAATGTGGCTTGCAAGTTAAAAGGGCTGAACGGATCAGCTTTTCTTACATGTGCCTGCATTGCAGCCTGTGCTCTTTTGGTACTGCTGCCTCCAGAATGGAGGTGGAGAGCGGCTAAGGACAGAGTCTTCTTGGACGAGGCCCCTCATTTATGGAATGCCTTCCCAGTAAAAACCCTCAGTTGGTGGTCTTTCCATCTCAAGACTGCCTGATTTTTAACTGTGATCCTTGCACCTGTGCTATTTGGTATTTGCTTACTTGTGTTGATGCCAACTGATAACTTTATAACTTCTGTAATTACTGTGGTGAACTAAAAGCTGGAGACCCGTGAGGAGTCATTTGCGAGGGTTAGAGAACAGGGAAATCCTTCCCTAAAATCTCCTCCTCCTGGAACCTTTTCCCCATGCTCCATTTACTCCTGGTTTTCTTGGCTGTTGAACCACAGGCACTGGAATTGGTCTGGGCAGGGTTCTTCTGCACATCTGCTCTCCCTGTACATTTTCATAGGTGTTGAGTCAGTTAATCCCCCCCCCCCCCGTACACTAAATAATGACGATTTTCCGCGCAGGGGAGGGTGCTGTTGTCATCAGTGGCATCACAACACTCCCCTTATTTTTTACAAAATGGGCCTTAAAGATCAATGTGCTGATGTAGTGTTGTAATAATAGTTTAAGCAGGTTCTCTGAACTCTCAACTTTCTTTTCCCCCCTTAAAGTAACTCTCTAGCCTTTTCTCTCACAGAGATATAAGGGAAAAGAAATATCTCCTCAAAGGAAGGAGCTAGGGATTTACTTTACAAAAAATTAAAGCTAGGAATTCAGAGAACCTGGTTAAATTATCATTGCAACGCTACATTGACATATTGATATTTTAGAGCCTTTAAAAAAATTTCCCCCCTGTTTTTGCTCCTAGTCACAAGGGAGGAATGAAACAATGAAATCCCACCCACAACTACTGAAAATATTATTTAACTATAGGGAGGTGTGGATTTCCTGTGATCTGTTTCTCTGTTGTTCTGCGATTTCACCCTGCACTGAGTTCGATTCCCGTTTAATTTTGACTTAACTAGAAGAACATCTAAAACTAATTTTAGAACTAGAGCATGTGTAGTGTGCCTCAGCTCTCAATTCCTTCTGTTTATTTGCATTTGTGCCCCCTCCCCCATATTACCACTGCAGATAAATGAAATCAGGATGTGGTATGCAGATACGACTGCAACAAAATTGCTTTTTTTTGCAGTGTTTTATCAATGCACATGTGCTCCTTTGTCAACCTGGGGATAGAAAAAGACATGGAGGAATTGCTGACCTCTGCAGCCGAGACCGTATGTGCTCCTTTGCTGCATAAACCCCCAAAATAATAAATGCAACAATGCATCGATTCCACTTCAGAAGCAAGGCCCAGTGATGTGAAGTCCAAAATCCAGGGAGAAATTTAGACGTGACGAATGTAAGGAGCATCTGGATTCACAGTCTTCTATGGCTTTGGAGACGTAAATGAGTGCCGCTTGTGTTCTTCACAGAATACCTTTGCAGACACAGGAGCTAGAAATTTGGGGGGGGTTTAAATCAAAGCTGAATGTTGTGCCCATTGTCACATCCTGCACCTTTTCTCCATTCCTGCGGCATCTGGGATCACATAGCCTTTAAGCATACCTGACAAAAGGATTCTGATCGCGTTTTGTTTTATTAGGTCTACTCCATACATGCTGGGCGTGCAGAATATAAATATTTCAGTTAACTGGACAGAGGTGACATGAAATTAACCAGTGTTAGGCATAGGCAGTTTAAGTCGTGTTAGATTTCTTGTGTCTAAGGAGCATGTGCAGAGCTCTACTGATCTCTGGCAGCGCAGTTGCATAGCCAAGCATGCATGGTGAACCAGCCCAGTTCTCACAATCAGGAGAGTTGAAAGGGTTGATTTGTCCCCATCCCTTTTCAGTGCCTGCTGATAGGTGCAGTGAAGAGTCTGTGCCTCCACAGATGGGGGAATCCCTGCCTCTGGAAGGCCGGCTGTGTAGATTAGCCCAAAGAGACCTGCTTCACCTCGCCACGTCTGGGGAAATCAAGTGGACAGCCTCAGCACAGGCCCAAGGGACACCATCTCTGCACAGTTATTGACTACTTTGACGGTGAAAACAATTAGGGCTGCCTCTCCATGCTGGCAACTGGCAATCTCTGCTCCATCCCAAGCCAGCCCTGGATACTGGGCTGAACACTGAATATCTCCATGCTTTGATAGCTTTCTTAGCTGTTTACATGCAGGGATTCAAGCTTTTTTTTGCCCTTCTTGGGCAGAGCTAGTAGATAGAATATTGTTCTGAGCCCAGAGCGAATTGAAACTCGGGTCCAGTGTTAGCTAGAGTTGCCAGCGCCAGGCTGGGAGATCCTGGGAGATTTTGAGGGTGGAGCCTGGGGGAGGGGAAGGACCCCGGTAGGGAATGAGGCCATACAGCTCACCGACCAAAGCAGCCATTTCCTCCAGGGGGACTGAACTCTGTAGCCTGGAGACCACTTTTAATTCTGGGAGATCTCCAGCCTCCACCTGGAGGTTGGCAACCCTGATTAAGGGAGGAACTGCTTGTTAGACAAGGTGGGAAGGGAGGAAGAGGCTGGATGGAGTTTGGCGCATGGAGAACGTTAGTTGGTCAGTGATGAGAAAAGGGTGAAGTGGTGTAGTCCGTCCAAGGAAGGGGTTGAAATTCTCGATATTTGCCCTGCATGATCAGAACATGAGAATAGCCATGTTGGATCGGGCCAGTGACCCAGTCAGTCCAACACTGTGTCGGGCAGCATTATGTTCCCAGCCAGCCACCTTTCAGTAAATGTCAACATTTACCAGAAAGTGAGGGAAACAGTGAAATAAGGCGGGTACCACTTCTCTAGTCAATTTCACAATGTGCTAACTTTTTCTCTGCCCCCTCCCCATAGTAAAAATCAGCCCTAAATGCCAACATTTACCAAATTTGACATTTTCTATGGCACTGTATATGTCTTTACTGTTTTCTGCAAAGGGGGGGGAGGGGACCACAAATGCCTTTGGTTTGAAATCCGCACTGATTTGGGGCTATTCCCCCTCCCTCCCTCTCTCTCTCCCTCCCTCTCTCTTAAAAGGGTTGCAGGAGGAAGCCAAGCCCAGAGGAGACAAAGGGAAGAGACGCCTGGCCCGGTGGCCTGTCTGATGAGCGGCAGATTCCGGTTAACACCTTCCCGTCGTCAGTCAGTGCAGTGGCGGAGATCCCGGCTTGCTTAAAGCAGCAGCCGGCGCAGAAGAGGCGGCAAGAGGGGAGGGGAGGGCGTTTTTGTAACCAGGGACGACAGGCAGCAACACTCCACAGGGCTGCGGGGAGGAGAGGCAGCGAGAACAGCAGCAGACCTCCGCCTCCGGAGCCACTTTCCTTGGCGGGCTTCCGTGGGGGGCTCCCTGACCCCACCGCCTTTGGCCTCCCTGCGGACCACTGCAGCCCTCTCTTCCCGGCGGAATGGCCAGCGCCTCCTTTGCCATCCGTCTGCTGATGCTCAGCTGAAGACCTGCAGGGCTCCCGCACCCAGCCCTGCACCCGCCGGGGCTCCAGCACCGAACACTGGATTGCGGCTCAGCACAGACAACACATTTCTCTCCCCCCCCCCATTTCTCTCTCTCCTCCCC